TCAATCTTGTGTTATCAGGCTGCCTTGTCCCACACCTTTCGTTTTTCCCAATACCATAGGGTGTTTACCTCATACTCTTTCTCTGTTGATGCATTCCATTCAGATTTGTCATCCTCTGTGGCGGGATGCCCTTTTGGATTTGGATATTAATGTGGTCCTTCACTGCCTCACTTTGCCTCCACATGATCCTTGTTTCACCTTTCCCTTAAGGTGTATTTCCTTCTCCTATCCTGTGTATGTTGAAGGTCTGATTTGTTTGCCATGAATGTTTCACATAGTCTTTATTATTCTACGTATCTTATTCCTTATCTGGATCATTCTCTCCTCTCCAAAACTTCTGCGGCTCGTGAGGGTACTCCGCCTTTTTCCTGATTTCCCTTCCTTCCATTTCCCACATTTATCCTTACCCCATTCCAGATAGACTTCTATGTCCTGTATGTGCTCTTCTCTGTTATATTGCCTGCATGGCTTCTTTCCACGGTGCACATTCCCACCTCTTTATTCCTTAGCAGCCATCCTCTATTCATGATTTTTATCCTTCCACCCTCACCAATAGGGTTTGTATTTTAATTTGATTGGCTTATTCCTCTTTATCATCTTACTCCCATTCTTTGTTCTAAGTATCTTCTCATTAAATTCGACACCTTACCTTTTCATTGGCATCTCATCGTCATTGTCCTTTGGAGGAAATTCTTCAATCGGGCATGTGCACTACCCCTAATATGTTCATTTCTCACTATTTGCAGAAGATTGTGGTTTCTTCCTCTTTGGGTTATCATCTTCTGCCTGTAGCCATTCTTCAGACTTCAGTGAGACTCTGACACTGGATAAGTTATTTTTGTTATTCTTTATTTCTTTTGAGGGAACTTTTTTCCTTTTTATTATTACTTATTGTTTGGATCCTGCTCTGTGGGTAGTGGTGCCTGACCAGGTATTCTTTAACCGATCAAATCTGCACTGTAAAGTCAACTCGACTTGCATATTATATTTCCGTGGCCATGCAGTGCACACTGCAGAGATGGGGTGTTCCACAAGATTGCTTGTAGGCTTATCCTTGCAATGGAATTGCTTAATAAGTTTGCCCATTCCGGTCTGTACACACCCTTGGACAACATGGGTAAAGCAGAAGGGGGAAGCTGTCCATTCTTGCCATGCCTTGCATTGAATAAATCGGTATGGTCTGCTTTTGAAAATAGGGTTTTATGGTCACCCATTGCACTGTCTCGGGTGTTGTCATTCCTCTGGACTCTCCTCCACGTTCTCCTTTTTCTTCTAGTGGAGTTTGAGAGTCCTTACCACTTTCCAGTTCCAAGCCACTGGGGTAGTGTACCATGGAGGCATCCTTCTGAATGGGTTAATAAAATACAAACAAAATATAGATATCATTATAAAACCACTCAGTTCAGTAGGGTGGTAATTTTCTATCGTTGTAGATAACATGATATACTCCAACATGAAACAAAATAAATGGGAATGATCAATCAAAATTGCAGTTCACTCCTTTGATTGGTATCCCTCATCCTACCCCCATGTGAACATTGGTTCCCAGTGGCTGGGTTTGGATTTAGAGTTGAACAAATCAACACAAGTCTTCACACATGTATTACAAATGTCTATATTCCTCCCTCATTTATACTCTTGTTACTCCATCAGTGTTGTGGGTCACAGTGGAGATACTTGCAGATTATTATGGTTCATTCCCTTCTGCTATTCCTTGATACTTATTATTCCAAGGATGCTACTGTGATTGGGCTGATTCTGGTCTATTTCAATTGAGGGAGATGGTTTACTTTACAGAGACATCTTTTCGATACCAGATGTCATGTTCCCGGATTGATCTATTAATTTCTTATATTAACATGTGCCCCATTCATGGGCCTGGGGGTTCTTGATTCCCTCTGTCCTCATTAACTTAAGGTGAAGAGGGTATGATTCTCTTTCCTACCCACACGAGGTGGCTGGGTTTTGGATTATAGTTCACTTGCCATTGGTATGATCCTCTTTCCTACCCCCACATGGATGTCAGTACCTGGTGGCCAGGTTTTGAATTATAGTTGACTTACTGACAGTATGATCTTCACCCTACCCCCATGTGTATGTCAGTTCCCAGTGGCATGGGTTTTGGATGTAGTTGACTCTTCATGTATGGTCCATCATGCCCTAGCCACTGTACACCTAAAACACATTCTTTTCATTTTACCATCTTTTATATTCTTTGGGATAGAGTTGCATACATATTATATAGTTCAGATCACTATCAGACCTTAGGTCTCTCCCACTTGGATATGCTCCTCTGTTTTCTGCCCATATGTGTGACATCTTTCTATGATAGGCAAAGAGTATACCTGGTTCAGAAGTGGTGTGGTCCTCCACATCAGATCTTAGAATCTGACTGTCTTCTTTTAGGGAGTGTCCTTTGGATGCTTTTGAAGGACACTTCTTTCTTTCCCTTGCACTGGTCCCTTCACCTATTCAATGTGGGATTCTAGTTATTTATGTGAGAGGAGGTAATGTACTGTATAGGAAGCTATCATTTTCCTATACAGGAAATGTATTTCCAATAGGTACTTACCTCCCCCACTGAAAACTGGTGGTTCCATCTTCTGCCAGAACTTGAAGTGATAGTTTGGTAGAATTGAACAGAGATAGTCACAAATAGAGGGAGGGTTGACACACGATTTGCATGAGAGATGCATTGGAATCAGTCAATTCCAATGGAGGGGAGATAAAAGGTTTGTTGCATGTGTTAAAAAAATTTTGGCATATAGAGGGTGAAACTGAATGAGAATAGCTATTTAAATGAAAAGAAGTAATTACTTATTGGAAATAGATTTTTGGTATAGGAAAATTATAACTTTTCAAACATTATCCCACGGTAGCAATGAATAAGACAGTGTTAGTTTTACACACTTTTGTCTCATAATAGTGACTTGGAGCATCAAGCATTCCAAATGATTATGTTTAATAGGCTGTTATCAGAGTTTCAAATATAAATGGGATGGGATTCTTCTACAGTAGGTGTCTGTGACTTGTTGGGGATAAATTTGAACAAGAAATGAACAGCATACAATCCACTTGTTTTAATATATTAAAAACAAGTCAAACATATGTTCAAAATTTTTTTACTCTTTAGGAAGTCAGTTTTATCTAAAACTAAATAATTCTCTTTTCTTGTCAAAAGTCCACACAGGCTGATTCACTTACGTTACCATGTGGGTTACTACAGTTGTATCCTGAACTTTAAATAATTGTCTCCTTTTCATCAAAGTCCACACAGGAGGGTTCAATTACTTTAGAATACCCATTCACAAGACAAGTTATTCCCCTTTTCTCTGTTAAACTGTGAAACTCACTTTAAGATATCACCCATTAAGGCTAATCACTCACACGCTGGCTAACTTCACATTTGCTAACATTTTTTTCTGACTGAACTTCACTTTACTTGTGCTTACTTGGCCACGTCAGTTGGGCAAGGTTTACATATATATGTAACAATACTCACATAGCAAGAAAAACTTAGAGGTTTTGAAAAAGATGACATCAACAATACTACAACAATTGAACTACACACACAAAACGTATGACTCTTACTGAGTTGCATAATGAAATCTGTCATAATTGTTACTTTTAGCACATCCCTCAGGAGCCAAGAGGTGTCTTAACACCTTGTTTGTTGAATATTAATAGTAAGTTCAATCCAGAAATTCCCAAAGAGGGTGGTTTTGGATGCATCTTTTCGAGACAAGTTTTTGTTTATTAATTGATAAATTTTTAAGTGAAATACAGCATCCTCAAGTCTCCATATCGACTAATACTAAGGTCTACCTGCTGGGAGTAAATTCAGTATATATCAATAAACCCACATTCTCAGCATCATTAATTAAGCAATTGTCAACCTTTTATGCTTCTGTTATCACCTTTTTATGTTTAAATTTCAATTGAGATATGAATGATTTCACCTGCAAGTCAGTAGGGAAGGTTGAAGCATCACGATAGTCAACAGTAGGATGAGCAGACAGAAACACTTTGAACGTAGCTACAGGCATAATAATGTATTCAGCTTGCTGCACAATATCTACCAAGGTGATTCTAAATGTTTCTGAATATATTTTGCATGTCATTTTTCATGCGTCTTGTGCTTGCCCTTAAGCTTGTGATGAGCTGACAGATTTCAGTCACCTTACCACTTCAAAACACTTTCCATAGCCACAACACTGAAAGAGTGAGGAAATGGCTTCTTTTTAGCCAATAAAAATGTCCAAAAATTTCAATTCAAATTAAGAAAAGCCAGATTAGGTAGTTTTTTTTTGTTTTTTTTTTTAAATGTCCCCCACTGGCTTGTGAAGGGCCTGTTTAAATAATTAACTTTTAACACTTTTGTTAGGAAAACTAAATATTCATTAAATATTAAATGTTTAGATAAACTAAATAATAACTATTAAGCTAAACAGTCTTGTATATCCAACAGCTTTATACTGTTTCTTTAAGAGAAAAAGTTTACACAATTAATACATTACATCTATGAGATGTGGCTATTTTAAAAATTCTCTTTGACTATGGTAAACAATAGGGTGAACCATTTTTATTGGTTGAGGTTGTGGACACTTTGAATATTTGCATTGTTTGACTGAGCACTGGTCAGGCATATTCAGATTAAACATGGAGAAAAGATTGTTGTATTAATTGTTCTTTTGTTCTCTTTCCCAGGGTAATATCACAGGTGTACAATATCATCAATACAACTACCGTAGAATTATGAGTGACATTAATGATGTCATCAATATATCCATCGTAAAATAAAACATGAATTTGTTGTAATATTACAGTCTTTGTGTGCCATTTTTATTATAATACATTATTACTGTGATTGCTAAAGTTGTTCTTACACTGACTTTGCCTAACTGTGTCATTGATGTAATATTATTGATGAAGTTGAATTTTACTGTATTTGTTTCGTTATGTAATAAAGATATATAACTTAGTTACTTTTACTTTTTCAGGACGAGACTATGCGCATGTGATAATTCAATCTGTCAACCATGAAAACCTATTCACTCTGACATCTTTAAAATCAATATGTCAAATTGAAGAGACCAAATTAAGAAGCTCGGTGCACTTTGAAGAACTATGTGAACAGACACCCTCCAAATCTTGTTGTCGGAGCTGGTCTCTTGCGAACTATGTAGCTTTACTAAGTAACAGGTCTTCCTGCCATGATATAAGAGAAACAGACATTGCATCAGTGTTTGAACTGCTCAAGTCATGTGCCAGATACTACCACCAACTCAAGCTCAGTCATGATTGTACTGCTGGGTTGTGTCGGGAAGTTCCCCAAAGGTGCTTCCACTTCAATGCAGTGTACAATATCTTCCATTATTTAACAGACATTCATTTCCTGAGCCCAGAAAACTTGCATCTAAACACTTCTCAGCTTACTTATACAAGTGTCTTCCTGCCACTTGCTCAGAGCACTGCTGCCATGGATTATTTCAAAGACTTAGAAAAAGAGAAGCTTTCAGATGGGGTTACAGAAGTTGTTGCCATGGAGTTGGGTCTCAAGCAGACACTGTTCAATGAATGTTTACTGCATGATACAGTGATAGGCCTAGCTGCGGGAGTAATCTTCCTCTTCATCTGGATGTATACTACATCATTTTTTGTGACAATAATGACAATCGTGTCCATAGCTCTCTCTCTTGGTGTTGCATATTTCTTCTATACTACTGTGTACCAAGTTGAATTTTTTCCTTTCATGAATCTCCTCGCACTTCTCATAGCAATAGGTAAATAACACATATAGATAACAGGTAGCTCATAAAAATAAACACCTCCAACCAGGGTAGAATTACAAACTGTCCACCAAATGGTAGGAGGAGAGTGAAAGTTAGAATGATGTATTACTTTACAAATAGTTCTTATAGAGTTATAAAGTTGATCTTTACATGATTACATTGTATGGTATCAAACTAGTTTTTTCACTGACCATTTTGAGATAAGTTTTAACACAAAACAAGCTGGACTCCTGTTTGAATCTACCAGTGGTGGATACGAATAGAGTCAGGATTTCTGATTGAATGTGTCTGTATTTTGTTATAATAAAAGCAGGACTACTATTTCAATATGTATTTATTCTATTGTAGTATAGGCTGAATTGCTGTTTGAATGTACAAGTGTTGTATCGTTATACATGCAAAATTGTTTCACTGTGCCAGTGGTGTACTGTAACACAGTCAAGATTTCTGTATATTACAAAATACAAGGACTTCTATTTGAATATGCTAGTGGTGTATTCTAATACAGGCAGGACTCCTGATTAAATGTGCCTGTGTTATATTGCAAAACATGCAGGACTCATGTTTGTATCTGACAGTGGTGTATTATAATACAAGGAGGTTTCTGTTGTGCATGTGCCAGTGATGTAGTATGCAAGTGTTGTTTTTTAACATAGCAATACTTCTGTTTACATTTACTAGTGGTGTATTGTAATACAGGTAGGACTTCTGATTCAATGTGCCAGTGGTGTCTTGTAATATAGGCGGGTGTTCTGTTTAAATATGGTAGAGATATATTTTCATACCCGTTGAGCACTTTGTTGAGTGTACATGTGTTATTTTGTAAGACAAGCAGGCCTTATGTTTAAATGTGCCATTATTGTATTATAATACTATACAGTGGTGTATTGTAATATAGGAAGGACTCCTGTTTGAATGTACCTACTGATTTTGTCATATAGACTGAACTTATGTTTCAAAGTGCAATTTGCTTATTATTATTATAATACACCCAGTACTCCTGTTAAAAGTGCCCATAGAGTATTGTAGTACAGGCAGAACTACTATTTGAATTTAGCAGTGGTGTGTTGTCTCTATTCCCTCACTCATTTATACTCAGGTTACTCCATATGTGTTGTTGGTCACAATGGAGGTACTTGCAGATTACTACAGTTCTTCCCCTTTTGCTATCCCTCGATGTTCTTATTATTTCAAAGATGTTACTGCTTTTGGAGTTGTTTCTGTCGTTTTGATTTTGAGTGAGATGGTTTACATTAGACAGACATCTTTTTGATGCCGGATGTCAAATTCCCTGATTGATTAATCAATTTCTCACATTGCTATTGCTATTATGTGTCCTGTTCATAGGTCGGGGGAAGGTGGTACAAGATTCTCTCTGGTCTCATGAATTTGAGGTGAAGATGGTGTGATCTTCTTTCCTACCCCCACCAGATGGATGGGTTTTGGATTGTAGTTGACTTACCGATGGTATGATTCTCATCCTACCCCTGCATGGATGTTGGTTCCTGGTGGTCTGGGCTTTGGATTTAGTTGACTTGCTGTGTACAGTCCGTCATGTCCTAGCCACTTTACACCTGGAGGCACATCCTTTTACTCTCCCCCACATTTATGTATTATGGGATTAAGATTCACGTAAAATGTGGTTTGGATCACTATCCAACCATAATTCTCTCTCTCTATTGGATATGCTACTCCCTATTTCCACCCATATCTGTGACACCTTTTTCTACACTGGACAAAGAGTATACCTGATACAGAAGTGATGCGGTTTCCCATATGTGATCTTTGACTCTGAAGATCTCTTTGGGAGTGTCCTTCAGATGCTTTTGAAAGATGCTTCCTTCTTTCCCTCGCACTGGTTCATCCATTCAGTGTGTGATTCTAGCTATTTATGTGAGCGGAGATAATGTACCATATCGGAAGTTATAATTTTTCTTCTCTGAAAATATATTTCCGACAGGTACTTACCTCCACTACTTCTATTTTCTGCCTAAACTCAAAGTGATAGTTTGGTAGAATTGAATAGAGGGAGTCACATGTGTCAAGAGAGCATGTTGCACTATTATTGGTGGAGGGTTGTTGCATGATGATTTGCATACGAGACACATTGGAATAGTCAATTCCAGATAGGTGAGAGTGTCAAGGCTTGTGACATGCATAAAAATTTTTTTTGCATCTAGAGGGAAGAACTGAACAAGAATAGCTATTTATGTGAGTAGAGGTAAATACCTATTGGAAATACATTTTCAGTATAGGAAAATTATAACTTCGTAAGAACACATAACTTGTATGTTTTTTCTTTACAACTTGTCCCTTCTTTTGCAATTGCATGAGAAGGCAAGAAGATTTTGCACATTAGTTATATAGGTGGATTAAAATTCATAGGTAAAAAATCCTAAGAGGTTTCTTTGTATTGATGTCATGGATTTGTTAGTCTATACAAAAGTAGAATCATAGACACACTTTTGTATGCACCTGTTAGTTGTGTAATATCATAAACACAGAAAAGCGAAATAGAACAATAGTACATTGTCTCTGTGCTATTGTTCTATTTGGTGCACTTATAACTATGGTGAGTCTGTTTGTTACACAGCTAGAAGCATTCAACAATGTCAGTCAGTCAGTGAGATTGAGAAATTTGTGGTTTTATGAATTTTTTGTATCTGCACCACTGACTTTCCCATGTGGTTCTATGACTTGTATTTTTGTATGTGTTTTTTTATAGCCTAAGGGTTTCTTCCTAAAACCTTTGAAGATTTATTATTTGGTTGTTAAAGGTGTCTATGAGTAAATAGTTTGTATAGCATGTATTGTGTATCCACCCCATTCCTACTAAAAGTACTACTGTACTTATGCCAGTGGTATATTATAATACAGACTAGACTGGTGTTTGAATGCATCACTGTTTTCCAAAATGAAGCATATAAAATCTTGGTTAAAGGGATGTTTGATGCACAATTTCCTTTTTTTCACTTTTAAATTAGTTTAACGTACATCAATCCTGTTGTTTACAAAACTAATAATTTAGTAATTGAGAAATTATCCCTTTGCAGTGTTTAAAAATTATTTGAGGCATTTCATCAGAGACATAATAGTAGCACCTTATCCTCAGTTATGATAAACTGCATAGCTTGTGCAGTTTATTAACTTGGACTGTTAAATTGTTTTTCCATAGTATGTTTCACTTCAGTTTTGGTTTAAATCTTTGAGTTACATATACTAAGAAGTAATCATAATATACTTAATTGCTGTGAGAGAAATAAATTATAACTTCAAACGTTGTCATTGTAGCAACTGGAACAGAGCTCTCATCTGTAGAAAAATACATCATTTGTTACTTTTACTGTAATTTCTCAACCCACTTTTTTTTGTAGGTCTAAGGTATTTTCTTAGTTATTCAAATAATATATGTGTGCTTGGAAATGGATGTTTTTGTCTACTTACAGTTCAAGCTTCATTAATATACTATTTATTCATTGCTCAAGTAGTAGTTGTTGTTTTTGGTTATTTTGTAGCAATTTTGTATGGTTAAGAGGAGCTTTTTATACTTAGTGGCATCATGTTCCAAATTGCAAGTAATTCACTCAATTTAGATGGTTAAGGAAAACTTTGGGTCCTTCTTTTCACCTAACTGGTGGTCAACTTCTGAACTTCACCATTGAAGTGATTGGTGAAAGACATTGTGGCTAAAGCTGGCATTCAGGATTTCTTTAGAACATCTGTTTGAAAGTTTACATTATTTTTAGTGTGACAACATTTTTTTAAAGCGAAAGTGAATCCTTTTAATACTAGAAATAAAGAACTTTATAACACCAAATTTTTAATTTTTCCTTCATTGGACACTGAACAATTGCTTTACAGCTTCTTCAGGAGATTTGTCTATTTGTTTCTAGTATTAAAATGTCTTTTATACACCAATATGCACTACAAAAATTAAATAACTTGTCTCACAAACTGTATATATTAGAAAGGTCTTGTATATAGTTTTTTCTTGAAGTGAATGCTCTTAATATAAAATTACAAGGTGATATATGTATGTGTGTGTGTGTATGTACATCCTTGCATGTGTAGAGACCTATGGTTATGGCCAATTTAACTTTTAATGTAATTTCTTTTCCTCAGAAACTAGTACTTGTTTTTACTTTTTTTGTGGAATTTCTTTTTAATTATTTTGTAAACCTAAAATACACTTACCAACTATTAGATGACATTAAATTCATTGTAAAATACCTTTACCATTTAAAATCAAATTCTAAGCAGTTGTCCTAGCACTGACTTACATAAATAACATATTAAGTGTGGAAAGACAAGAATAAATCTAGCTCATACTCACTCAAGTGCAAGAGATTCATGGAGCTAATATGTAGAAGGTAATGTGAATATGATCTGAATACACCAAAATACACAAACTTTCTGTAGCAGACCAATCAGAAAAATGATACCAGAATGTGGAAATTTCTCAAATATATTTGGTCAAGTGGGATGCAATGTATCTATCACACTACACACAAGATAAGTTCTTTGACTAGTCCAGATACACAAAGTTACACATCAGGCCATATTTAACACATGATCTTAGTTGGATTTAGGATGTTCCACATTAGAACTTAAAAGAAAATTCTAAAATTTTGCAGATTAGAAACATATACTATAGGAGGATAAGGTATATAATATTTCCGTGAATATTTCCGTATAATATTTTCATGAATTATATGTATCAAAAAAATAAAAATAACTGCTGTGGTCTTTTACAGACTACCTAGATATTAGAAGTTAGATGAATATTAAGTAGATACTAGAAAGTCAGAGACTAGAAAATAAAATAGATATTAAACTAGTTACATAGAGAATGTTTAGCACACAGAATCATTGTGAGACATAAAACCAGGCTTAGAAAGTTTTTAAAGATGAAAATCACAGTGGTATGTGTGTTTCAAATTTTATACAGTATTCCAACATAATCTGAAGGGTTTTAAAACTAAAATATGTGTAGCTATCAAGTATTGATAGTTGTACAAAGTAATATTTTTGTAATGTTTACCCAATCTGTGTTGTTCTTTAAGTAATAGCAAAATGTTTAAGTATGTGTAACACAGTGTTAAAACTAGTAGATAGAAAAGTAATATTTCAATAATGTGTGCCCATTTTATGTTACTTTTTAAGTATGAGAAAAGTATTTAAGCATGATCAATATTACTTATTATTTCACTTCAGTGTATTTTAATGAAATTGTTTGATTTTTTTCTTAGGTATAGGTGCTGATGACTCGTTAATCTACTGCAAGATCTGGGCATGTGCAAAAGCTGAAAAGAATAATATGACTCTGGTAAAGCTTGTGAAGGACACACTTCAGCACTCATGCTTAACTATGTTTGTAACAAGTTTTACCACAGCTGCAGCTTTTTTAGGTAGCTATGTCAGCAGTATTACAGCTATTCGTTGCTTCAGGTAAGCCAGGCCAAGGTAGTAACATATACATAATATATTTAGGTTTCAAACTACTTTAACTTACCCTTTCATATATATCACCAGTAAATTTCCACATTTCTAACCAAAAACTTATGAATCACCATAATAGTGGTTTATGATTTGACAAAATTGATGATGAAATTGTATTGCCAGTACGTATCCTGTTTTGATATGATGAAACATTGAATATCATGCTTTGTCTGTGTGACTTGTATTACCAATACTTGAATAGCTTCATATTTTGATAAGATCGAACATTGATTGTCACGTGTTTTGTCCGTGTGTCTTGTATTGCTAATATGTGTACAGCTTCATGATTTGATAAGTTGGAACATTGATTGTCATGCTTTGTCTGTGTGACTTGCATTACCAGTACATGTACAGATTTGTGTTTTGATAAGATGGAACATTTATTGTCTGTGTTTTAGCTTTGTGACCTATTTCACCAGTAAGTGTATGGCTTCATGGTTTGATAAGATGAAACATTGCCTGTCCTTTGTTTTGTCTGTGTAACTTGAATTTCCAATAGATATACAGCGCAGAATTTTGATTGTTACATGCTTTTTCGTGTGACTTGTATTGCCAGTACATTTACAGCCTCCTGTTCTAATAAGATGGAACGTTGATTGTCATGTGCTTTATGTGAGTTTTATTGCCAGTATATGTACAGCTTTCCATTTTGACAAAATGGAATACTGATTGTTGCATGCTTTGTCTCTGTGAATTGTATTGCCAGTAGATTTACCACTTCCTGTTTTGATAAAATGTAATATTGATTGTCATGTGTTTTGTGTGGCTTGTATTACCTGTTTATGTTTAAAGTTTGGTTGTACATCCCTACTTTTAATATCAGATTAAATTATTAGGAAAGGACAGAATATTGTGATTGGAACTTTCCCAGTGAAGTACATATTTAAAATTTATCAATAAAAGTATTATTCAATTCATTCTTGTTATTTTCAGTTATGTATTTATTTTGTTATAATTAATTTCCCAACATGCTGCTTAAGTTTTATGGCTCCATGTAACTGACCCACAACATTCATGGTAGAAAACTTATCATATGACATAAAGTGCCCTCAGATCTTGACTTAGTGCGTGATTTTTAGTTATGCTAAACAATGAAAAAAAATTTTAAAGATATTCTCTGATGGTTAAAAGACCAACTCTGTTTTGTTCTCTGAAATGAAATAATTGTGGTGTATCATTGAGAATACATGTTTTAAGAACATAATTGTGCTTTCAGCTATTAAAAATTATGGTTTGTTTTCCAGTCTATTTGCAGGAACTGCTGTTCTAGCCAACTTCCTGTTGACTGTTTCCTGGCTTCCAGCCTCGGTCCTAGTTGCAGAAAAGTGGTGTTCGTGTTCTTGGTGTGTCTGCACTCCTCCATTTGGTTTCTACTTACCCCATTTTCAACATATATCCATTTGTAATGGTTTATGGAAGTTACATTACAGTTTTACAGATTCAGCAAGAGTGTTCTTTGAGAAAATCCTCCCCTGTCTTATTATCAAGCCTCGATACATCTGGTTGGTATTATTCACGCTACTGGCAGTTGGTGGAGCTGTATCTATATTTTACTACCCAAGTCTTCGTCTTCCGGACTCTACAGAGTTCCAGATATTCCATGAAGATCACCCTTTCGAAAAGTATGACTTAGAGTTAAAAAGGCTATTTTGGTTTGAGAAAGTTAAAGAAAAAGACCACTTTTACAAACTTCCTGTTACATTTGTTTGGGGAATTTTACCTGTGGATAATGGCAATTATTTAAAGCCACTTGATAGTGGATCTCTAGTATTTGACTCATCTTTTAATTTTTCTGCTTCAGCTTCCCAGGAGTGGTTATTATCATTTTGTGAACAGCTTCTAAACCAGAGTTTTTACCAGTCAACTCTAGGTCCTCTTCTTCCCAACTGTTTTATTAGAACATTTAAAACTTGGATGGAGCGTAGATGTGTTGATGGTATATCTGCAACAGACCGATCTCCATGTTGCAACACCTCCAAATTCCCCTACAGTGACAGTGTCTTTAACTTGTGCATTAGAGAAGCTATAGATATCTTTTATCGAACACCTGGTTATAACTATTTTCTTCGGAGAACTCCTGGTCCTCGATTCTCTGTCAAAACTGGAACTGTGCAAGCTATAGTCATTCAATACGACAGCGTCTACACATACTCCAATTCATATACCCATATGAAAAACTTCTTCACAGAAGTTGAAACCTGGACCCAAAACATGATGAAAACTGCTCCTGATGGAATGAAAAATGGTTGGTTTATAAGTGACCTAGAATTTTATGATCTTCAAGATAGTCTTTCTCATGGGACAGTTCTTGCATTGGTGGTAGCTATATGTGTTGCTTTTATTACTCTACTGATTACCACCCTTAATCTATTGATAAGTATCTATGCAATCATTACTGTAGCATGTGTCATTTTTGTAACTGTTGGATCATTGGTCATTCTAGATTGGAAACTGAATGTAGTGGAGAGTATTACTGTTTCAATAGCCATTGGTCTTGCAGTGGATTTCAGTTTACACTATGGAATTGCTTACAGAGTTTCTTCTCAAGATGACCGGGAATCATCAGTTGTCCATTCTCTGAGTCGAATTGGCAGCCCAGTTGCCATGGCTGCTTTCACAACCTTCATAACTGGTGCTCTGATGTTCCACTCAGTAGTTCTAGCTTATACACAGATTGGAACTTTTCTAATGGTGGTCATGACAGTAAGCTGGCTGTATGCTACGTTCTTCTTACAATCTCTCCTCAGTGTGGTAGGTCCTCAGAAGGGGTCACTTCAGCTTAGTTATCCCAGCCTGAACTGCTGTGAAGTGCCAAGCAGTGCTGTTGATAAAACTGTTTATGCCCTCTCAGATTCCACTCTGTCCACGTCAAGTGCCAGCTACCCTACCCAAATACCTTCAAGTGAGAGTCACGAACTGGAACCCTTGACCACTGTCAGAGCTGTACGAGCTGAAGTTCTCAAGCATGTAAAGAGAAAACCAAATTCTCGTCATAACCGGCAACGCTCTGGTAGTTTTTCCTCTGCCTTGTCTCGCTCTAGAGACCCTACTTTCTCTATTTCAACAGTTAGAAGCTCCAGAAAAGTTAGCCTTCCTATTGTAAGTGTGACATTCCATGGAGAACCTAGTCCCAAACATGTGTCAGGGGCCACAAGCTCATCTACCATTGTGTGTGCAGAGGAAGAAAAAGAGTTAATGACTCCAACATTAATCAGAAGTGATGATAATTCTGATTCTGGAAGTCGCAGAAACATCATTGTTTAAGTTTACATTTCTTTTTTGTACAGGGTGAAACTCATCTGGTACGGGTGTTTTAAACATATGGGAGTGGTGCTAGGGTAAAAATTAATGTAAGTTATTATAATGCTTGTATACTTAACATTTTTTATTGAGAGTTTAAGCCATATGGGGATTTTAATACATTTTTTTTCAAGAAATTGTAAAAAACAATCTAAAGCAAATTCATGTATGCTCACAGCTGTATGTCTATATTGGGGTTTTTCATGAGCTCATTTCTCAACCACATCACTTTGTTGTAGACTAAACATTACACATTAGAGTGTATTTGCAACTCATAGGCTTGGACATCAAAGTACACAAGTGCCACATTGTTGTGAAATCACACATTTGTGTTTACCTTAACTCGATTATTATACATGTTGTGTTGTTGTTATGAAGTCAACTTGGTGTGTTCATGCCCTTTGGTGGTATGAAATGAGTATTTTAATGTTGTACCATGTAGTAACTAAAAAGATAAATTTCTGTGAAAATGTTAATTGTATATCTTTACTTCATAAATATGATGGACTGTTAACAAGAAGCTTAAATAGACATAGATCCTTACAAAGTTTTATTGACTTGGTCATTGCAGCTACCCAGGTTTTTCTTTGTTATTTAGTTAATTTGTTGATGTTTTTCGGTTTACTTTCTTGAGTAAAACAAAACATTTCCAATGTTTGATTAAATCTGATGCAAACTACTGGAAAACAAAACTTTAATATTGTTAATCATTCTTAATTGTTTCAAATATTGCCTAACTAAATTCAGGTAAAACTTGTAAAGCTAAACACAAATCAAGGAAAACTTTAGAGCAAAATCTTTCTCACAAATTTCCTTCATTATGTTACATACTTATATAAGCAAACAAAGTTACATTAGATTTTGTTTTTGTTCAACTTTTTTATTATGCATGTGCTAAATTTAGGTTCATCACAGGCAGTGGTTCTGTTTTAACCAGTTGTAATGTACTTGGTTCAGTTGTATCATTCTTTGTATTTCTCCCATATTTCCATTTGTGTTAGTTATAGATTTTAATTTAAATTCTTGAATACTATTTAAGAAACTGTGTTACATGTTCACATATTTTACAATATTTTTGTTTTTATGGCATATTCTGCCTTATTTGTGTTACTTTAAAAATATTTGTCAAGTTCTGCATTACTGGTGTTTCAGGAAACAATAAAATAAACATGATGTACAAGTCATTGTGATACTTGTATTACTATGGAAAATATCTAACATACTTTACAGGTCATTATAATACTTGTGTTACTGTGAAAAAAACTAACATGCTTTTACAAGTTATAATACTTGTGTTATGAAAAATTATATATGTTACTCATATTACTCTGGAGAAAATCAATCATTACAGGTTATTATTACAGGCAGATCTGGGAGGCTGCGGTTGCACCCCACACCCGATCATAAAGCCTATGTCCTGATCTCATAAATTCACATGTAATCTTCTAAATTTCCATATCTTTCGTGTAATTTGGTTTGTTTCATTTTTCTGTATACAGTAATCCTTAATTGTCATGTTAGCACTGTGACTTCTTGGTAGATGATACTGGAGCATGGAAGTGAAAAGCTTTGAAAATAGATAAATATTTGATAAGACAATTGTAGAGTGAACATGACAGCTTACATATTATTAACGATGAGTATGATGGCAAATCACTAGAGAAAAAGTGACAGACCAGTCAGAATACACAGTGAAGCATTTCGTCAAACATAGCTACTGATTTTCTAGTATTGTTACTGCTGACTACATCTGTAGGAAATATTCTTCAGAAATGCTACTTACCTCTCTGCACTACGGAGAGCTATTACCCCAAATGTAACTTCCATGGAAGTTCATGTTCATGCCACAAGCTTTAAAACAACTATGATGTAATTGTTATAATACTGTAGCCCTCCATGCACGGTAATCCGTATGAGAACTAGCACATTAACATAAGCTTATTCTTTCCTCAGCTCTGTCACTTTCTTTGGTTGGTCATCCTACTCTTCCACATCTTACTTTCTTCTTTACCTGGCTTTTCAACAAAGCGCTATCTGTCTTAACCATTGCAGGTTACTGGGCAGTGTTGTCTACAACCTTCCACCTCTTGCTGGGTGATATTCCCTTCCTTTCACCTGTTCTCACAAACCTCTTTAAGGCCTTCTTTGTCCATTGCCTCCTCTTCCTGCTTGGAGTATAAGAGTGGTTCTTTGGGATCTTACATTCTTCCCCTTTTAGCCTTTGGACTCCTGCTCCTTGTAATATTTGTCTCCTCAAATATATTCCCTTCTCCTTGCTTGTGATCATCATCCAGACATTTATGTTTTGAATGTCTTTCTTACTCCGCCAGTTGGTGTTACGTCTGGGCTGCTTGGGAGAGTGATTGATTGTTTTCTTCTATCTCTCTCCTCTCTTTTTTCCTCATTGTATTATTGTTCCTATCACAAAGTTCTTTTGTGTCTCATACAGACTGTCTGTTGCTATCTTGCTCTGATTGCCCCTTTTTGTGGAAATTGCCATCGCCTGTTTTTACCGTGGAAGACCTCCTTCTCATGGGAATTGTCCCCTTGCACTTTAACCCTTTTGCAAAGGGTGCCTCTTTAAATGCTTTTCTGCACAAATCTGCTGTGTTACATTCAAAATATAATTAAACACCTTTACTATCAATGTATGTGAATAAAATTAATATTCTAATGTATGTTATGGTTTAGTTTTATCTAAGTTTTAAGTCTTTTTTTTAAAGTAAACCTTTAAAAAACTACAGATGTATTGTCACGTGACCAATGAGCTATGAAAATTCTCTTACTTGGCTCTCTGTATCTTCAATAATACAATGGTAGTTGAGTAGAGGTACATCTAGACAAGATGCTTACATAACCTTTTGACATGCATATTTTCAATTTCTCTGAATGAATACAGTTGAAACAATTAATAAATTTTTTCAACCCCTGAGAGGTTCCATGCCCACCTTCAACAGCTTTGTTTGAGCTTTATAGCTGGCTTACATGTAGATGTTACATACACATATGTAAAATCATTAGAAAGAGCTAATTTTACACTATAATTTAACAATGTTTATTATGAAATTGACGTGAAGTTGTCATGAAGTATATATAACTGACTTGTATTGTTGGCTCCTTGATCAACTATAGCACTTACGATTGTTTGTTACCTAAGTATGTCAGTTAAAGATACAGTTTAAATTGTATATAGGTCTTACTATTATATTTTAGTTACTTATGTATTAGTTATGTTTTAAAATGCATAATTGAAAGGCTTAAACATTTTATAAATACACATCATACTTTGCATCTGTTCTCAAGGCTTACGATATTATGCACTGAACAAAACTTTTGCTGAAGGGTTGTGCATATCTCCTAAAGACACTGTAATATGCCTCGTTAGCACCATTGACTTGTGTAGAGGTGAATAATAAGTGGTAAAGGACAAGAAAAGAAAACATTAAAAGTTATCTATATCTGAAAAGGAAAAGACCTGAAATTAGAAATTTAACAAAAGGAAAATCTTTAAAGATATTCTACAAAAAATTAAAAAGTATGTTGTTGTTTTTCTGTTTTCTAATTTTAATTATTTGATTGCATTGTACATTGATTATAATAGCTAGAGTTAGTGATCTTGTAGAGAAAATGCAAAATAAAATATAAATATTTACAGTAGAAAAACTTGATATCCTTTTAGGAGGTTCTAGAGATTATGCAAATAAAATATGAAAACTATAAAATGAAGGAAATCATTTTTATACTTAAAATGAAAATCACCTTGCACTCAATTTGTTAATAGTTTGAGTGCAAGTATCTGCAATAGAAAAAAATAACATTTCTAGTAAAAACAATTACAATAATGTCATTCTTTGTGTACAAGATACTTATGATCTTTAACAAAATCTTACCAGTTTTTGAGAGGATATGTTAAGAAATCTCAGAGTCACCATATGTATTGTTGTACAAGTGAAATTCGTGACTCAATTTCCGCAAATTGCATGAGCCCGATGTGAAATAGTTAACTGGTTGAATTTGCCAGCTCATCCTTCTTGCATATTCATCTTTTGGTGAATCTGACCATATGTTTTTGTGTCTACTCTCACTAGATTCAGCATACTACAGCCTCTCTCTGCTATTTTCATCACCAGCCTTTCGAGGAGATCTTACAGGCTCATATGTGGACTACACCTTAACACATTCATCTTACATTACTTGCATCAGTGAGCAGTATCATGTGACTCTGTTTTTCGCTTCCTCCATTTGCTATTCTCCAGGCTGTACAGTGGGGGAGTTTTGCCTGTAATGTTTTTCAGTCATCTCCATGCCATTCATACATTTCATGGCACCTCCATGTGTGTACCATGATTGTTGTACATGTTGCAACAAAATTGTAATGTTTTTCACTAAAAAAAAAATCAAACATGAGGAGCTACACCCTACTTTCCTTATGCATGGTGCCATCAGAACCGACTGAGTGACTGGTGTTGCCTCACAGGAAATACTGTATTGAGTGGACGAGAATGGAAAGTGTTAAACCCATCTGCCCCTGCTCAGTGCTCACTGTTGAGATGGTGTTTTCAGCAGTATAGCTATCTAATTGAGCTAGCTTTTTGCATACACACAACAAAAAAATAAAATAAAAACCAGCACCAGGTGTGGTCTTCCTCTTAAACCTGTATTGTGCTTGCTGTCTTTAGTTGTTGTAACCCATTGCACTATCTCTCTGTGGGGAATCCCAAGCTTCTGGGGATGTCAATATGGAACATTCCCTCTAGGAGTGGTACCTTTCTCCTGGTAAGAGGCTGATTAAACCCACCACTAATTTGTAATGTAGGGCTGAGATATTTCCTGTAATTGAAGTACAGGACACCTCATTTCATTTTTTCCCAAGCAATTACCTGTGGATACATCCATCTGGATGAAACTTGGATTTACCTCGGGACACAGGTAAGAGCTCCTCCTCCCTCAATCTGCCATTACAATATCTATCTCATGCAAGTATTTTACCAGATAGAATGGCATAGAGCCATAGCCATACTACATGCTCTAACTTTCCTCTCATCTTTCTGGCATGTTATCACTGGCACTGTGCAATGTATATGAAATGTATCAGTGAATAAATAATAAATTTGAAGAAGTGAAGAGTGGTTTCTGATTGAGAATGTGTGATCCCCACTTAGTGCTGCTCCACTAGGCAACTCTAGTCTTGTGGAAGTCACACCCAATAAGTTTTCTCTCTCTCTCATTTGCTTTTTCAGATAGGAGTTGACTTTTGTAATTGGTCTGCACTGGCCCTTCCACCATTTTCAGTGTGGGATTCTAGCTCTTAGTGGTGCATAGAGGTAAGTAGCATTTCTGAAGTTAACATTTTCCTTACCTGAAAACATATTGCAGATAGCTACTTGCCTCTTTGCACCACCTTCTCACCCTTCCTCCCCACTTCTAGTGTAATTCCTTTGCCTCATCAAAAATGATCCTTTGATCATGTGCTAGTGCTCATGATGATTAATGTGTTTGGAAACTGTGTCTCCCTCTTGTTCTTGGTAGGGCAATAGCATTATGGTGATTACATCATAGGTTGGTGCACTAGATGTAGACACGTGCGTGTGTATGGGGGTGGGGGGGTGTTCAAGGCTCGTTACATGCATAAGAAATTTTAAGGCAGTTGTACATAAGGTACAGAGAGGTAAGTATCAGTCAGAAAGACGTTTTCAGATAAGGAAAATGTTAACCTTCAAACACTGCTACCATTTTTCTAATATTGTTAGTGGCTGACTATATCTTTAAGGATGTATTCCTTCAAACATGGTACTGATTTTCTAACTAATATTGTTACTGGCTGACTATATCTGTAGGGAAGTATTCCTTCAAACATCACTACAGTTTTTCTAATATTATTACTGGCTGACTATAACCATATAAAAGTATACCTTCAAACATTGTTACCAATTTTCTAATATTGTTACTGGTTGACTGTATCAAATGCTACTGATTTTATAATATTATTACTGGCTGACATTGTCTTTAGAGAAGTACTCCTTCAAACTTTGCTACTGAATTTCTAATATAGTTACTGGCTGGCTATGTCTGTAAGGAAGTATTTCTTCAAACATCACTACTAGTTTTCTAACATTGTTACTGGCTGACTATGTCTGTAAAGAAGTGCTTCTTGTAGAGATTTGTAATATTGAACTGTCTTTAT